TATTCTAACCACGGTCAACATAAATATGATAGGAATACATAACTTCTGTTACAAAAATAATGGGGTATATAATATAATATACAACGTATATAAACTAAAGCAAAATTCCAATAAATGTGTTCTGCAGAATATTTTTACTTTTTCAAGTAAAAGATCTTGTCTTTTTCACAATGAAATTTTTTAACCTATGTGGTCCAGTAACAAAGCTTTCTCTAGAGACAGATATACACTAATTAGACAGAAAGACCTATAAAGAGCTACATGTATTTATTTATGTATACACGATGTTCAGTATAAAAGCGGACCCTTTATGGGTAAATAAATTAGTGCATAACCAGAGATTCTTAAACTCGTATTGTCCAGTTATGTATATTGATCTTATCATGACGTGAAAGCAACAATAAATTTTTGCGAGAAACGCGCTCCTACCAAAACTAGTTAATATGGCAAGTTTCTATCCGCACCTTTGTATAGTAAATGCATTAAGCGAGTTATTTTGCGTCCGTATCCGAAATCGTTCTAGACGTGCGGAAAAATGCCATGGAAATTCGTCTAGATCAGCCAGATCAAAGCTCTGTGTAGTATGATTCTGGGACTCTTTCCTTTGCATTTCTGAAAGGCACGTGTTTCTCGAAAAGGATTCTTATTGCGTTTCGCATCTATAGGTCTGGTAATGCCATGATATTGATGAACTTGTTTACTAGGGGAAGTATGAATTCTTAGGAATCAGAAAAGATTCTTCCTTGATACACTTTCACACATTCAACATTTTTGTACCGTGTCACGTCTCTGACTGTTGCTTCATTAAGAAGTTCATTCGTGACGCCATTTCCATTTCAGATCAGGTATTTATCACTGGTTATAAAAGACTTGATCAAAGCGTATATGACTGCGACCGAAATTAGCAAACGCGAATCTCTGAAAAGCCATCGTTTTTTTTATCCAGCCCGATTTGCATCTTGAGAAAATATTTGCTTTGTGTAACCATGTTAGGTTGACAAACGATGGGGCTTCTGCTCTTTAAATAACGATGGACAGTGATACCTCGAAGATACTATCTGGCAGTTCGTTTCTTTACTGTAGGAGAGTAATATCATCTTATTACTGGCAAAAAGACATAAAATGACATACAGCTTATTTCACTATGAAGATGCTGGAGGACCCTTTTGGCTACAGAATCGTATCTGAAGACTATGACTACCGAGATCTTTGCCTTTTATCGATCTAGACTACTTTCTGTGACAGGCACTTAAAACAAGCTGTGTTCATAGGCAATACACACACATCCACACACCTTTGAAGAACTGAAAATGAGTACCACTGTTGACATCCAGAATATAGATAGAGTATAGATAAAGAAAAATCTTCTTCAATTTCCTAGGAACATGGTGAAATCTGTGGACAAATGCACTGAAACAGAGGAACATTAGTTTGCTACATATACTGCAGGCAGGCAAGATTATGTCACACACACACACACACACACACACACACATATATATATATATATATTATCTTACTTTGAAGCTATTGCGCAAGTATTAGAATAACTTGTTTTCGAACTAAGTGAATTTAAGATTATATATATATACTATATATATTATAAATATATATATATATATACCAATTGTTTCTAGGAGGAATCTGATTTCATATTGAACATCCTATATCTAAAGCTGCGTAAGAAATAATATCTGAGATCTCAGCTGTAATGAAATCATATCTGGTTTCAGTACACCTAAAAGACATGACACGCTGTAGACACTAAACTGCGTAAATTTCATTATGAAAATTGTTTTCTAAATTTGGGATAAACTTTTTTAAGAAGTTACAATATAATAAACTCTTAAATCAAGCACCTATTTTTAGTCACGATTTTCATAGGATAAGAATTCTTATTTCGAATTTTCTGCGATTTTAGAACATTGTAATCTTACTGTTTAAATTCTCAGAATAAATTTTTTTAATAAATTCTCTTTTCGAATGTATTGTAAGGATTTTCTACCTCCTTGAGGCGGCGTGCCTTAGTGGAGTATCTGGACATACGGCTAGCAATCGGGAGGTCCGGAGTTCGAATCCCGGCGATGGCATGGGAATATTTTTAATATTTACTGCTTCGATAAACCTAATAATTCTACAAATGCCACAGGAACTAAAAGGTAGTGGTGGCCACCAGTATTTGCCGCCGTCATGTTGGTGTTCCGTGTCTGTCGATCGAGCTAGCTGCGTAGTGTTCGTGGTTGTACACATATGTAACATCAATACGAACCAGTTTCTCTTGAAGAGTTAGGTTAGGTTATTTAGTTACGGCAAAGCCTCGAGGGCTATCTGCCTAAGGGAGGGATGCCTTCGTGGAGGACTTTCTAAGGAAAACTGGCTCGTATATACGTTACACATGGAGAAAACGAAAACACCCATGCAGCCAGATTCGATGCCGACAGGATTCGAACCTCGGACCGAACTACCAGTGTTCAGCGAATTTACCGCTCGGCCGCTGTTGGGCCCCTCTCGAAGAGTCCTTCACGGCATTCCAAATGCATATAGCCCTATCATACTGTGCCTTAATTAATTAACTTGCTAGCCTGCATTCATTTTGTTCTCTGTTAGTCAATTTAATTTTTCTCTTCTATCCTCCAAAACGAGCCTCAAAATTTTGCTGTAGAATATTACTACTAATCAGACTTCTGCATATATGGCTAATAATAGCTAACTCAGCTCATATTTCTCAGTTTTATTATTCTTCTCATTGATCATCCGCTTAACAGAAGTTTTGCAGCCAAATGTTCATTAAACAAAGAATTCTTACTCAAATAAAACAATGCTCATTTCGCTTATTTAGTCTAAATCTTCTCGTTAATAGTTCTAATCCGAGCTTTAATCTCAAACAGTCCACTAATTATTTACATTTACTAAACATTCAATGTTTTGTGAAATATTTTAACTCAGTAATATAATTACGTTGTCCCTTAATTCTGAAGATATCTAAAAGAAATGAAACTAAAATAAATTATTACAAATCATTTTGAACAAAACAAACCGATTAAATTCTGAAATCATTCCCCCTTTAGTGTTATATTTAGTAGTTTTTATTTCTTGATCCAAAAGATAGCGAAACGGCAAATATACAAATTTATTACTATTTTCCTCTTTCGATATCTATATTATTACCATCATCGTCTTTTTCTTCTTTGTTGATCTTTGTTTTTCTTCTAATTTATCTGTCCTATTATCTGATTGAGGTAATAAATTATTCAAAGATTTCAAGTATTCTCAGAGTACAAGTAAAATTTATAATACATATAAGTAAAATTTGAAAAATTAAATGTCCATTAAGAAAACCTCCGACTCATTTCCAACGAAGTTAATGAAAGTTACATAATTTCCATAAAATAGAAGCTTGAAGAGCAATAATTCTTCTACCACGATATTCGAGAAAAAAACAACCAGTGCAAATAAAATAGTCAATCAAAAATTTCTACTAGACTGATAGTGAGTTATTTAGACTGAAACAAATCACACAGCATTGAGAAGATTAAAATAACGTTTTTCTTATTTAACTCTTAAATGAACAAAAAACCACAGCTGGTGCGAGAGAAGAACATTCGCGACTTATGGGTATTTAAATTAACATGACAGAAAGTTAAATTTCAAATGTAGGTAACGTAGTCAGAGACTAAGAGCTAAAACCTAAATACCACTTAGGCAGAACTGGCGATAGTAAATAGCAAGATGCGGTTGCCAGAACTAAACTAATCTTTCAAACCTTCAGCTAAAACACACAAAATAATTAATTTGTATTCTGGTGAGGACTACGGAAAGGAAAAGTTATAGTAAAGGTTTAAATCATAATAATTGATTAGTTAACATAAAACACATTATAAATTAATAATTTGAATTAATAAGGGCTATATTCAACTCAAATGAAGTATAATATTTTTAAAATTTCTTAACGACAGTAAAATAGATTAGATTTTATATTTTTACTTTGCATTCGTTATCTGAAATCTTAAAATAATATACCCTAATTATTCGCTTCACTAATAAGACTGGTGATTCTAACTATAAAGCATGAAGTTGCTTAAGAAAGTTAACAATTCCATCTAATATCTGAAATAATAATTTACGGGTTATCTCGAATAAAGATGGGAACTTTAATATTCCATTTCCAATCTGAATCTCTTGTGTCGGCAAAACGGAAATGAATTCAGACATGAATATAATGTATATATCTGAATGCGTATATGAATGCAAATCTTTAATATGATTTTTTATTATGATTTGTTACTAGTAGAGGATTCAAAAATATATAAATGAATAGGTATAATCAATAATGAAAGATTATAAAATGAATTTAAAACACGTTTCTACTACGTGCAAGATTAATAACTTCACATTTCTTGTTTCTTACCTCTGTCTTAAAAATAATCTATTGATCAGCTCATTTACTCAAGTTAAAAAGTGAACTCATTTCCTTTTCAGTATCACTTTTACTACGAATTTATATTTTTGCATCATTACATTATAGCGTTAGTAGAAATGACATTCATTCCTTTCTAAATGTTAATAATATTACCAAGAATAAAGAAAATATGTTAATGAAACATACATTATGTTAATTAAATGATTTAAAACGTTTTGAAAGTTTGCACGTATTCACAAGTAATCCTCAGTTTTCGGAGTCGGCAATTCGAATTTTCTTACCGTGATGCGAAAAATGTGTATAGAATAGAGAAATTGGCTTGAATAAAATGTAAGATTTTAATTGAATAAAAAATTAAACAACAATCATATGACTCCCCAGGAGAAAATACTTAATAATTTGACCCTTGTGAAAATTTGTCGAAATGTTTTACGAAGTGTTTAAGCAAGAAATAACTTCGGAGTTTTCCAATTTGTAATATGCTACAACATGAATCCAACGCTCCTGTAAATTTTCCTCAGGTATACGTAATATTGGAGATGTGAAAAAATAATGTCTTCACGAAGACATATAGGCTTACCAGTCATTGTAGTCAGCATTGCTTCCAGCAGAGCTGTCACCGTTAGAATCATTGAGGGTAGCTAAGTCATGTGTGTGCGCGGAATTCTCGATTTCGGGAAACGCGCTTTTCTCCGCGATTCTGAGTGAGGTGTGCACTTCTCCCAACTTCTCCGGAGTCTGCCAAGTATCTGTTCGGAAAGGTTGGTGGCGCTTCACGTAACCTGCAGTTAGCACGTGGTCTTCGCGCACGTGGGTTCAAGAAAGGTCCAACAGTCAATGCATGTTTTAAATCTTTTTTTTTTTTTTTTTTTTTTTTTTTGAGAAATTTGGGCGCTCTTCGTAACTTGCAAGTTGGCACGTGGTTTCGGTCATATGGGTTCTACAAAACTCCCTCAAGTCCGATTTCTTTGATTTTTTTTCTAAGGCTTTTAAAGGAGAACTATAACTCTATGAGATCAAAATTAAGGTTATTTTTTACCATTAATTAACACCGGATGAAACGTTAAATCTTCTAATAGCCTTTCCGAATGATAAAATAATGTGTAATAGAAATAATAAATTTCCGTTCGTAAAGTAATCGTTGGTTATTAGAGATTGTTTAGAAGAATGAAATTATATTGGACAAAGCAATAATTTCTAGCGATTAGGATGTTCAGACTACATTCAGACGACTGTCAAAGCTTTGAAACCAGGTGAAGAAAAATCTATAAGTTTAGGGAGTAAATTATTGATATAATTATACGTCTCATAGAATTAAAAAGGGTTAATTTAATTTTTGGGTAATAAATTTATTCAAAAATAAGGTATTCTGAATGAAGAATTATTTTTTTTTTTTAGAAGCGAAGCAATAAAAATAATAGAAATTGCAAACTGTAGATTCAAGCTCACCAAAGCAGGACGAAAATTAAATTACGAATCAGTTATAACTTTAATAATAATAAATAAAGGTTTATGCTAACACAAATTTTTACTTTGCAGCTGATAAATATCTTAGTCATTATTGATGCAAAATATATTTTTTAAATCTTTGCTCACGTTTTGATACGTATGTAGAACGGAATACAATTGGTCTAATGTCTGTTTTCTAACTTGTTAGGTCAAAATGTTGGATTAATATTTGATAATATTTACTTATAAAAATCTTCTAGGTTAATTAATCGTGTTCACAGGCCTTGTGAAATTAAAACCCTTTGTATGTGATTGTTTAAATTTTGGTGCATGAAATCACACATTCATTTTTACTTTCTTAGCATATTTATCGTCTAAAAGACAAAAGGATATTCTAATAAAACCAAATTTTAGTATTGAAAAACCTTATTTCTACATTATTCTTGTCGTTAATATAACGCTACATTTTCTTCCCTCCCTGCAAATGCAGTTTCGTAGAATACGACCAGTTATGTAAGAAGAGAGATTCCTCAGAAATAATCCTAATCCGTTTCCATCATAGAGTTTCATATTTTAGTTGCGCCATAAAAAGGCCTCAGGAAACGACTTAGATTCTTTGGAAAAGAAGTGTTCTTTATCGAGATGAAATGTCATCAAAATTATTGTCACATGTATCTTTTCTTAGTTTTACGATCCCATCAAAATTATGAAACAGCTTCTCTCAGTAAGTATTCATTTTTCTCCAATGAAATTCATTCGCAATTGCTAACAAACGAATCTCGAATCTACCATAGAAGATTATTAATAGAAATTTGATGCAATTAAAAAATCTCAACTAATATTTCTAATTTAGAAAAGTATCTAATTTAAGTATCCCACTTACGTCCTTTTCCATCTTTCTACGATAAAAGGTTATATTTCTGGTGCTAGAAAAGTGAGTGAAAAAATAAGTCTTGAAAGAGGCTCTGACAGTGTAGTTAAATAATTCAAGATTTTATAAGCCTCTTTTTCACCTTTCTGTTGGCGATATTCGTAAAATCTAAGATTCAAAACGTTTTGAAAATTTTGTTGGAATGATACTATTTCGCTTGATTAATCGCAGAACACCCCAGAGTTTCTTAAAGAACATTTGAAAAAATAATAACTAAAAAGAGCTTTAAAGAATGATTTTCCTTCTGCAGCAATTTTACTCAAGAGTTCTAATGACTGTGATAGCGATTTTACTACGAAATTTTGTGATTTATTCACCGGGTCGGTTTACCACCATTAAATCTGTAAAAAAGTTTTTAACTTCTACCATTTCAAGTAACCAAACTAAAAGGGTTCTTATTCAGATTTAACTTATTTCAAACCAGGTTGTCATTTTAATTCATGGTTCTGAATTTGAGTTAAAATTACTCTTAATTTCTGCTCTTTGTTCATTGTTCATTTTCATTGTAAAAATAATTAAAACGTGTATGAATTGTCTTATGTAAACGTGTAGGGTTTGTATTTATTTTAACTAACATTTATTTTAAGCTATCTTTCCTGTCAAGCCTTTATTTTCCCCTGGAATTGCCAATGCCAGAGTATGTAAATTTTAGTAGAACGCGCAAAGTATTCAAAATTTTCAGCGGAAGTATTTTTGAGTTAAATAGAAGGGAAACGAGTTTGTAGGTGTGCTTTCTTGATTCACGAGCGTGAAGGTTGCTAGGTAGAAATTTAAGAACCGCGCGTTTCGGCCTGTGAGCCTACTTCGGCAGTTAGTTGAATCTTTAACTTCTTATTCAGAAAGTTGCTGAAATCTCAGCTGTATCTCAGAACGCGGTTAAATTAGTCACTTTTATAGAGCCTCGTAGGTAGTGACTTGTTATTTATTCATTTTTAGTTGTACTTTCTTATTTTTATTTAACCGCCGGGTCGGCGTAGTTTGTGAGCGTCAAGTGAACGCATTTGTAACTTCTAAAGTGGAATAAAAAGGGGGTTAAACCCTTCTTAAGAGTTTGTGTAATTCCAGTTCATAGCAGTCACTACTATTGTTACGGGAAAGTTGGGGCCACGCAACATCACAAACGAATGAAGTGAATCTTGTTTTAGGTAAAACGTATGTTGGAAAATATACATGACTGTGAAAGAAACACATTCTTAGTTCTTGAAGAAAATAACTTTGTGCAGGTCCAAGTGTGATAGCAGTAGTATGTTTACTATTACACTTGGGATTTGTGTGGAACTATATGAATGCGCTCGGTGCCCTGATGATGTTAGAGAAGATCGGATTAACTTGTATAATTTAAATGTCTATTCGTATTACGAGAAAAGTGTTCTTGATACTTAAAATAAGACTTCTTTTTATTAGTAAAATATGGAAAACTTATTCAACCATGCAGTATAGAACATGAATGGTAAGAGTGTAGAAAAATATATTAACCTAAAATGTACATTATCTATCTTGTTCATTTTGTTCTTAGATATTATCTAACGAACTAAGTAATTAAAATGTACTTCTCACGCAAAACATTAAACTTCTTTTTATTTAATAGGATGTAAGTCTTCTCTTTCAACTCCAAACGTTTTTCATGTCTATATACGGTCACGATAACATGGTGGAAGTTGTCTCATGATGTTTGGTACCATGACTGAGGCAGAATATCTCTCAAGACCCTGCATCACTTAGTTGTTCTGATGCTTTTCATAATTATAACTGTAACTCCAACATCAGATGCTAATTACATTCATACTTGGAGAATATGATGGCCATTATGATAGACGAAATTTCTTGTCATGATCTTAGAACAGTTTAGTGGGTCATGAAATATAATGTTTTTAAAATATACCTTCGCTACCATGTTGTTGTTGTTATTACTAATCTCCATATCTAGGAATATACTAGACGAGGTCCACGAGTCCATTCACCTTCAGAAAATCGAAAACAAGCTTAGGAGACTTGTAAAGATCCTCAAGAGACAATTCCAGCGCTCAAGTGTATATGCCGGTGATGCCGATCCATTTATCATAAAAGGGTGTACTTGGTCCACCTCGTTGGTCAGGTACGTGAGTAGTTGCAATTTGTCTGTAAAATTTTATTCAAATTACTAGACCTCATGCATCCGCCAGGATATATCCTAAACTGCATTCAGAAGAAAAGGAATCGTTGGATGAATATCATACACAAGTTTGTCCGTCAACATAATGAAATATAAAAGCGAGGTTCATCTGACCAATGGATCTTTGCAAACCCTCTGTGGCTCATTTTTGCGACTGTGTGCTCATTGAAAGCGTTGATAATAGTGAACTATTTTGAGCAAAGCCACATAAATAAGTGCGTACTTAGGCAGACACAGAACTCTGTGTGTACGCAGAACTCTGTGTTTACACATGTGAGATTCATCACCATTAAAGACATCGTTAAGCACAGTATCTTTCTCAATGCTAATAACAATATGAGACAACCTAAGCTAAATGTTGCCACAAATGATGTAATGCCGGCCAACGACTTTTCAGCGCCTAGAAGGGACACCTTTTTTGGATTATCTGTGACAAAAACTAATTAACGCGAAAGCTAAATAACCTATAACTGCTACTGTTTCGAAGGTGCTTTTACCAATCATACCGTTACGACCAGAACATTCTCACGATCAGGTAAATTCTTTGCTTCTCCTATATCCAGGTGAAATTAGGAAAACTTCGATCCAGGTGTTATACGTCATTCGAGATCTTGGTATGTGCCATCAACAGGAACATAAATCTGTATAATGCAGATACAGTTTTCATGTTTCGCTGTTCGGTTTATAATGCAATAAAGCTGTTACAATATTTATTATGAATAAAGAAGGAAAATATTCGACTGAGTTAAATTATGATTATTTTCAAATGAAAATTTGATACATTGTGTTTTATAGAAAATATTTATTTTCCATAAATACGTATATCATATTATACACGATTTACTCACAGTCTATCTACATTTATAGAGAGAAGAGAATTAATTTTACTTTATTACCACTAAAGCAGCATAAGGGGTCTCTCTCATTGTCCCTTAGCTGGATTGATAAGTATACACATAGGTAAGCGATAGATAAATAAATTCACCTTATTTTAATTTTAAACTGGTTTCCTTCGTTTTGACCAAATTGATCTTTACATTATTGAAATTATAAGACTTAAAAAGAGATGAAAAAGACTATATATGTATATATATTTGTAATAATAAAATTCCATAGTCAAGAATACACTTAAGTTTCTAACTGTATGTTCTTTTTATTTTTAATGGCGACGTTCTCTTATTTGAAAGTACGTGGAATTAAATCCACAGCCCCGTAGTCAAGTTGTTTTTCCCGCCTTTTATACACGTACAGTTATAGAATGTTCTGGAAATATTTAAAGCGAACTGGATTGGCTGACGAGGCTGACGTCATTTCTTGGAAGCTCCGCCTTTCCAGAGGCTATAAAAGGACTCGCAAAAGAATATCGGGGCTTTTCTTAAATGTCACGATGCAGTAAACTTCATACAAAAAGTTATTAGTAATTCTTTTTATTTACTCCGGATATCTGATTTTGTAACTGCTATTTTTCCTCAAATATAATAAATAGATCCTGTTTTTTAAACTTATCGTCTCATAATTTTAAGCTACGACTACAT